AACATTTTTCCTTACAAAATTTCATTAAAAAAATAGGTAAACAATACCTATGTTTTTCTATTAATTTCTTAAACTATAGTAAATACCAAATTTTTCCTGAATATTCCTTGATTTTCCAAAAATGGATTAAATAATCTGTATCAAATTTTTTTGTGAAAAACAAAATTAAGCACACGGACGCATTCCGAATGTTGATTGTGGCATATGGTGAAGCTACCTTGGACCGAAGCAACGTTTATCGGTGTTACAAAATGTTCTGAAAGGGCCGAGAAGATGGGAACGACGAAGAGCGTGCCGAACGCCTTAGCACGTCAACAACAGACGAAAACATTGATGAAGTAAAGCAAATAGCATTGGCCAATCGTGGAATCACCATTAGATTTTTACCAATGATTTGAGCATGAGACGAGTTATCGCGAAATTCGTACCAAAATTGATCGATTGCGACCAAAAGCAGCATCGCATTAACGCTGCTAATGAGCTGTTGGACTCTGTCCGCGACGACCCAAATTTGCTCCAGAGGATCATAACTGGTGACGAATCATGGATTTATGGTTTTGACGTGGAAACCCAAAGCTCAATCATCCCAATGGAAGCTGTCGCACGAGCCAAGACCGAAAAAAGCGCACCAAGTTAGGTTGAATGTGAAGGTTTTCCTTACAGTTTTCTTCGATTGCAGGGACGTGATACATCATAAGTTCTTGCTACAGGGTAGAAAGGTCAATCCACCAGAAATGCCCAAATTTGTGAAAGAACAAAAATTGGCTTTTCCACCATGATAACGCCCCTGCTCACACATCGTTGTTTGAGCGCGAATTTTTGACCAAAAACATACACTACTAATGCCGCAGCCACCAGATATGTCCCCCTGTCACCTTTTCTTGTTTCCGAAACCGAAGAGGCCCATGAAAGGACGACGCTAAGCTACGATTGAGGAGATAAAGACGGCATCGTATGAGGAGCTGAATAAGATCACAAGAAATGAGTTTTGAAGTGCTTCGATGATTGGAAAAAACGTAGGCACAAGTGTATAATATCTGGTAGGGATTGCTTTGAAGGGACAAAATAGATATTCATGAATAAATAATTTTTGAAAACACAAAATTCGTGATACTTTTTGAACAGACCTCGTACATGTAGGTTGATGTATTTTAAATCCAAGATAATACATATATCTCAGTTTCTATTAGATGATTTTTATGAATCAAATACAGGATATGGATCGAACTGATAACACTGCCACCAATTCTATATGTTTGCATAAATAGGGCAGGTGATATATGGTACAAATGTATATTACTTCCACAAGTTAATTAAAAAAAGTTCTGGTTTCCAAACACGGTGAATGATTTTTTAATAGCGATTTTCAATTTGCACTAGCACAAGAATTTAATAACATCAACAGCCACGGCATTACAACATTTCAATTTATTTTAAGAGAGTGTGAGAAAGACAATTATTCATTTTGTTGATAAGTATTTAAAACATTTAATTACCAGGTAGTTTAGACATAGAATGATCCTTTTTCAGTGAAAGGAATCAAGTAATTACATACAAAACATAGGTACACCTGAGCGATCGTGAATTAGATATAATATGTATGTATTAATATGCATTTGTATACATGTACGTAATTTATATGTATAGGTAATAAGAAAAGCACAATTCAACGCGATTACACCTAATCCCTTTAATAACAGGAAACAGATGATTTCAACCATCCACCTCCATAAATGGAGTAAAAGCATAAAACTAGTGATTACGTTCGTTAATTTTATTTCTTGTAGCAGCAGAAACACGAAAGTACTGAGAATCAATACAAGATAATTAAAATGAAAAATTAAATGTAACTGAACATAAAATTGGAAATTAGCATTTAATCGGTGAAAGTTTCCTTTTTCTTGTACGCCAGTTCTATTTCGATATAACCTATAATCTATACAACTGTGTAATGCCACCATAGCTGCTCTCTAGTCGTTTTTCGCGGGACTGTCATATGCTATAGATTAGCATTTACATTATTTCTAAATCTTAACTAGAATAGTACAGAGAAGGGTGAGAAAAAAGGTTGGAAACGGTTAGGGGAAGATCAATTTGGAATTGGACGGAAAGAGCGTATATGTAGGATTGGTAGATTTAGAAAAAACTTTTCACAATGTTAAATAGGAGAAGATGTTAGTTACACTTAAAAATGTAGGGATGAGATACAGGGTTAGTAGAGTGATACATAGTTTGTATAAAGAGCAACAGGCAGTTTTAGAACTTGAGCAGCAATGTAGAGAAATAAATATTAGTCAGACAAGGATGGACAGTGCTACCGCTACCTTTTTATCTATATATTGAAGATGCAACAGACATTATCAAAGATACGATAATTTCAAGGGTAAATTTACAAGAGCAAAAGATTATTATTTTTAGATTTGCTGATGATGATATTAGCATCTAGCAAGGAGCGGTTAGAGGTAGCCTCAAATAAAATGGAAATGAAACAAAAATATCGGTATGCAAGGGAAGGAAAACTGGGGAAAGAGTGAATATAAAGATTTGAGACGAAAAATTAGAAGAAGTCGCTCAGTTTCAGTATGTAGGAAGCCAGACAATTCAGGATGGATGGATGCCAGGGTGATATCAGCCTAGCATTTCGTCTATTTTGCAGTGCCTGATGGAACGACAAATTTTTGAATTTGGCGACGAATTAGAGATAAATTAGTAATAACACGGTAAAGGTTTAGATGATGGCCCCCACCCCCGAGCGGGGGGATCGAAAGAGGAGGTCTCCCCCACCACTGTACCATAAAAAGTTCGTGGCGGTCTCACCCCCATAAAAAGTTATGGGGATTCAAAGTTGATAAATATTTATATAGTCATTCTTAAACAATATTCAAATGTAAAACTAATGGAAAAATACATAAAAACATTGAGAAAGTTATATAAAACATTGTTTAAATATCTTTATCAATAGGGTGGGTCAGGTTAGGTTAGGTTAGGTTATCGGGTTTTGTTCAAATGACCACCCTCTTTCGATCCCCCACCTCCACCCGCTTGAAAATAATTGTTTTATTAAATTTTATTTGAATTATAGTGTATGAAAATTGTCAAAATAATCAACTTTCAACCCTCAAAACTTTTTATGGGGGTGAGACCGCCGCAAATTTTTTATGGAGTTTTACTCAGGTGACCGCCCTCATTCGATCCCCACTACTCCCACCCCCTTAGGGGGTGGGGAGCCATCATGTAACCCCCATAACTTTTTATGGGGGTGAGACCGCCACGAACTTTTTATGGTACAGTGGTGGGGGAGACCTCCTATATCGATCCATCATCTAAACATTTACCAGTAACACATATAAGCTTGTCGTGCTAGCATGACATTTGACTTATACGAACGACCAAAAACTACCGATGCGGAATGTGTGAGCACTTTTGAAATTATTCAGTTGTACAATTTGTCAGCCGCGAAGCGGAAACCCTAGCAAAAAATTAGAATTAAAAACGTTCCTGTAAGTATAAAATCAACGCGGTCGACAATTTTAAAATTCAAATTTCAAGGTTGCCTTGCCCATATCACGAACAAGTTGTTACGCAACTACAGTAATATAGTATGGAAGAAGCTGTGGGTGATGATTGCGAACAGTATTTGCATACTGAAACGATCAATCGTGTAAACACCTTTGGAGAGACGCTACTTTGGCAAGCTGGACACGTTGACTATACATATATGCAGATGTTTAAAAAAAAACTACTGACAACTTACAACTGCTGCAATAGTTCACTGTGCACAAGCTTTTAAATTATTTATTCCTTTTGTAGGTTATGCGAATATTACGTACATCGAGAAAGTCCAAGAGAATAATCAAATCAAACAAATATTTATGCCCTTTCGAAACTTAATTACTAAAATGTATTAATATTTTTATGGGGGTGAGACCGCCACGAACTTTTTATGGTACAATGGTGGGGGAGACCTCCTTTTTTTATCCCACCCACCCCCACCCCCGAAAGCCATCATCTAGACATTTACCTTTTTTTTTTATTGATTTTCATGTAATAGTATCTATTTTAAAATTGAAAATAATACTTAGAATTCTTAGTATTATACATTTCAATTTAACTCCGAACAATTTACGTATGATATGCCACATAAGCGTAATTTTTTCTATCCCTCGGGAACAGAACTTTTTTTCTGAATAAAAGGTATCCTATATCTATTTCTGCACCCCTGTTAATATGTGTACAAAATTTCATTCTGATCTGTTGAGTAGTTACTGTGTGAAATCATAACAAACTCACATTCGCATTTATATTAGTTATAAACGTATGCCTGAGGGGGCGATCGATACAGCAGCATATTAACACTTTTGATAAAAGCCGCCAGTCCACTGTCATAAACGTCACACAAAGATTTGTGCAATACAAAATTTTACGAGAAGCCTTCCATATAAACTGTATGAGAATGTGACAGGTGTCCGACACGAGACAGATGATAAAAGACAAATGATAAAAACAGTGCGAAGATGACAAGTCCAGGTGATGAGATAAATAAGTGATATAAATAAACAGTGAGATAAAGAATACGTGTATGATAAACGGTGAGATAAACAAGAAGTGTATAAAGTGTGTTACTGTGTAAAATAAATTGCTTATATTCGGTACAATACATCTTACTCAGCACAAATATGCTGATTCATGATCCTTCATAAGCTTTAAATGCTATATTTAATTTATATAATTAAAATAATCAAAATGGACATAGTGGAATATTTGTAGTTGGGGTATTTATGAAAAGTGGAATATGCATAATTAAATTCTCCTGTGTAATTCTAATCACTTCAAACAAATTGAATAATGAGGAGATATGCTCTGCAAAGACTGGAAAGACTAGAAAATTTTACTGAACTCCTCCCTCCTTTTCAAAATAATCTAGATCAACCATTGCAAGTAATTAGCCGCTTTTATAATACTCAGTTACGTGTATCGTTCTTAATCCAAATATGTAAAAAAAAACAATAAGAAAAAGCTTACCGTTCGTCCTTGTCATAAGTTTGGAACGTCTGCTTGGCAAGTTGCTGCAAAGAAGCTTCTGTTTGTGGTTCAGCTGAAATCCCAGCTCTTTGTTTTCTCGGCCGCACACTCACGTTATTGTTCAGCGCTTTGTGTTTCGGACTAACCGCGTTCAGATGAAACGGAAACACGCTCTGGAACTTGTCCAGGTGAGACTTTAAATCCAATATTTCTTCCTCGCGGGAGCGTAACAATGTCTCGAGTTGCCGAATTTTTTCTTCTTTGGCCTGCAATAAAAAAAAAACAAATCAAAATGATATACGAACTTTTCTTGTTTATCTGCATTGAATGGAGCCCAATTACAAGTTTAAATCTCCTGCTTTATGGTAGCAAATATGGTGCGGAAGCAAGCGAACACGGTCACAGGGGAACTCCATTCAGTGCTTTCATTCGAACTGTGTTCGAATACAAATGGTTGTTTCCATTCGCACCGAACGGTTCATGGAAGCGAGACTAAGAAGGGATCAACAACATTACACACATGGATGTTTGAAGATTCTCTCCATCAACTGATCTTGTTTAACTGTGTATAATGCTGATCGTCTCTTGTACTCTCTTCTATAAACCATTCGGTATGAGCAGAAACAACTATATACTTATTCATTTATAAAGTGATCTCAATGACCATGAGTATTCTATCTATCAACCATTCCGTATGTGGAAACGACTATTAATATAAAAATATACTTTGAATGGAAGTATACAGGGTATAACAGAAATGAGTGCCAAGCTTGCAGGAGGTGATAGAGCACTATAAACCATAAAAATTATGAAAATGTTTGTTTGCCCGAATGTTCACCGTTTTCGAGAAAAGAAAAAAAAAGAAAAGTACAGGTAATTTCAATTCCGGTCCTGCCGAAGATATACCACCTGCAACGCTGTACTCAATATCAGTCAGCTAATGATTACCAGTATCAGTGTAGTATTTGTTTTGTAAAAGCCCACAATAAATTATCTGTGAGAATGGAAGTGTCGTTTTTCTTGTTTCCATTTGGGACTGGAGTCATTTGTTGTGCCTTGAACAAGCCCTTGTTAAGTTAGGAAATGCTTCATGAGTAGTACAGACAAAGTGGAATGAGATGACCGAATAAGCGGTTAGAAGTTGCATAGGTATCGAAAGGTTCAGGGTCGGCTTTATAACTACCTCTTTGGAATTATGATCTTTAAACAAGCGTCTTCGCTTTTCTAAATTTCCGAGAATGTGGAATTTTCTTTAAAGTCCGATGCTGGCAACATTCTCAAATTCTGCTTCTTCTCTTTCTGTTACACATTAATTGGTGTAATGCCATCCCTTTTTCTTTGTGTGTCCGCTGCAATTCCTACATGACATCTGTTTTCTATGTTTACGATATTCCCTACAACGTCTGTCGTGTATGAAAGTAGGCGTTCTGTCAGTAGCCGCTAGTCTATTTTGTAAGGTGAAAGAAGAAAGTAAATGTGACAATTTTATTGCGGACCATGCCAGTTTTGAACGACCCAACTATAGACACTTTGCCAATTCTCGCACAGGACCGGCTTAGGATTGTAGGTACGTAGTTCCCCATGTGAATACCAAACTATCTAACACAGGTAGAAGTGGTTCGGAATCTCATTGGTCATGACCTTGAGTTGCGCAGTGACAAAATGCAGCCTATTCATTGACTTCTACTTCCCAGTAGAAGCACTGTACGCCTGACTGTCATCGTCTACATGACTCGCAGGCGAATTAATTGTTTTGAAGCATACAATACGAATTCTGCAAGGTTCACCACCCAGGACATTTACAAATACCTCTGCGTTGCACATAATAAAGTTCTTTGTTGCAGTTTATTGAAAAGATAACGTGACTTACCTGAAGAAGTCCTTGTAGCTGCTGCACGGACGCGGAACCCATGTTCGCGACAGTGGCAGCGTTACCGTTGACGGCGACAATAGTGGCGAGAGGCACCTGTCTTTGGGCGAACGCGTGCTGGCGGCCGTCGGAACCACCACCGTGTTCCGCGGCACCGTCCTCGTCGGCGTTTTGAAGCCGCGAGGAGGAAAAACAAAACGGGCCGAAGCAGATGCGCATATACGCGGCCACTGTTGCGCCCACCACGGCTACGGAACTTCGTCGACGCGGACACGAGGAGGCGGCTGCCGGAGCCGATGCTGCCGATTCGATCCAACAATTTGGCAACGATCGCCAAGCGCCTTCCTGGATACGCGCCAAACAACAAACGATCGGAATCACCTACTGAGTGACTGACCAACACACACTTCGATCGTTTATCACTACCGAAGACACCGGACGCAAGCACGAAGACAACAATTAACGGACACTCGCAAAATCGCGACGAAAGGTAATATCGACGATTAATCAGAATCGATCGAATTGATGCAGGGTTCGATGATGATAATACGTGGGTGGCTGTGCAAATAGTAGTTTTTATAAACTCTTATCACTCCAAACGTAGTTAAATGTTGAAGTTATGAAGCTCTTACAAATTGGAAGGCCTTTTTGCGTTCTTACTCCAATATGGAATGTATATAAATAAGTAAATCAATTAATCGGCAGTAGAAATCCAAATCTCCTCCTTCAAAATCGTTTTTTAGCTCTTTGTTGTTTTGTTGTTTTTTTTTTCTTTGTTGGCTTACCCGCTTCTAAAGTTAATTAATCTACTTTTGATACAGAATTGAAGATAGTTTTTCTTACAATTCCTTGCTTGTACAATCCAATATTTACTTATGTTTAAAAACAACGGTTCTGCACTTTTTTTACTTATACAAATGTACTTTTATTCTCGAGTGTTTTCAGTCTTCTTGTTGTCAGTGTTGCAGATTTCCTTCATGTATTCTAGAACAAACAAGAATACTACGTAAGTTATAAATATGTATATATACGTGTAATATAGGATATGTATTATCTTGTTTTTTAAGGATTAAACAACAAATACTTCTTATTAATTATTCATGGATAATTTCAGTGTAAATTTTCTGAAAGGTTAACCGTAAATAGTTTGTTTTCCATAACGGATGACATTACGTTGTATTATAGTTGTCATTCGGGGTAAATGTTTTTATAAAATACACACAGCGGCTGTCAATTTTTTTAGATTGGACAAGATGTCCGCTGACCGCCATTTTTGAAAAAAACAATATAAAAAGAGTTTTGCTGAATTGTGCTCTAGAGTGCGTTGCTTTACAAACTTTGTTATTAACGAGAAACAATTAGCGTGCTAACATAATTTAGCAAAAAATAAATTGTCCCGCCTTTTTTATGGTTTATTTCTGAGAAACTTATATTAGTGCGCCAACATTTTTTGTTGATGACCAATTTTGCCCTTATTTTTTCAAAAATGGCTGAGCTCACTAAATGATCATTTGAATTGTCGAACACTTATCCAGAATTACGGATTTATAAATCTATAAAGTACGCAACAAACAGCGTGTTTCGCCCTGAAAACATGTTTGTTATCTATGTTGTTACATAAAAAAAAAACTAATTTAACTCATTAGATACATAACTTACTACTTACAATAGTATTAACATTATAACTAACGACTTATCTGGATAACAACATTGTGTACATATGTATTAAAATGAAAATAAAGCCTATTTCTAATTGTAGTAAATTAATCGTCTGATACCTATGGCTTTCAGTCTTCTATATTTATCATGTTACACATGCATTAAAAGTGTATCACAACTATAATCTGATAAAGTGCTATTTTCGTAAATTATGTGCTTACTGGTATAATCCATCTAAATTTGGACGAATGGTAGTGTTATAGATTAACACTTACATTTTAATTATAGCCTTCCTCAATAACATAACCTTACAATTAGACACAATTCAGCTCAGCACATCAAAAAATTGGTGAGATTTAATTTAAAAAAAACTTAGTGTTCTTGTCAATTCCTATCTTAGATATTTAAAGTAGGCCCAGGGTACAGCTTCATCCCTTAATTGGAAGTTTTAATGTTTAGGTAATTCCACAATTTTGAATTATGAGTAGAGATAGCTGCACAATAAATTACACTAAAACCCCATTTACCTGTTATTAGTATTATTATTCTAGAACATTACTGAGTCATCATCATAAGGTCGTCAGTCCTAAGACTGGTTGGACACGTACTTCCAGTCTTTCCTATCCTGAGCTAAACTTCGTATTTCCTTAAAACTAGAACAGCCCACAACCTTAATTATTTGCGAACAGTATTCTAATCTAGGTCTACCTCTACCCCTCCTAACTCCTGTTTCTGCCACTAATATGTCTCTGACTAGACCTTCATGCCTGAGAAGGTGTCCTACCAACCTATCTCGCCTATTTTTTATTGACTTCCATAGAGTCCTCTGTTCTCCTATTCTTTCTAATACCTCTTCATTTCTAACCTTTTCTACCCACGATATCCTCATCACCCGCTTATAACACCACATTTCGAACGCTTCTGACCTTTTCTTTTCCGCCGCGCCCACTGTCCATATTTCGCACCCGTACAACGCCGCGCTCCAAACATACACCTTTAACAACCTTTTTCGAATTTCTAAATTAACCGTTCGCGAGCATAGAAGTGACTTCTTTTTATTAAAGGCGACACGACCCTGCGCTATTCTCTGCTTTATATCCCTACTACTCCTTCCATCCTGACTTATCTGACTTCCTAGGTATCTAAAATCAGCCACTTCTTCTAATTTTTCGTCTCCTATCTTTATATTCGCTCTTTCCCTACTTTTAATGAGTATACTCATAAAATATGTGAATAACTAGACAATCATGTGTATTTTCAAAATTAAAATTTGAACACGCAATAGTACAATATTTGGAAGAAAATTGGCAAAATGACCTATACCTATTATTGAAGACAAATTTTAGACAGCGGATGGCTAATGTAAATGAAAAGGGAAGAAGGCGAAAGATGAAGATCCTGAGAAGGTTAGAAATGAGGAGGTATTACAAAGTGTAGAAGAACAGGGCGCTATGAAAGTCAGTACGAAATCAGCCAGATAGGTTGGTAGGACACCTTCTTAGACATGAAGGGGTAGAAGCAGAAACAGGAGTTAAGAGGAAGAGTGGTAGACTTAGATTAGACGTCTGTTCACAAAAGTTAAGGATGTGGGATGTTGTAGTTTTAGGAAAATGTGAAGATTAACTCAGGACAGGAAACAGTGAAGATGCATATCCAGTCAATCTCAGGACTGACGACTCTACGATGATAGTTAAATTTTTCAACATTATTTTCATGAATTTTAATATCGTGCAGCTGTGTTTATCTTAAAAATAGCTCTTAAAACTAACCAGAGCTTTTTAAGATTATGCTGTTGATTTTAAGCCAATTTTCAATCACTTATTTTTATCAACATTGATTAAATTATTAAATATTTCTAAAAAATATGGACATGACATCACACGAAAAGATATTTTTAAATCAGAAGTATTTGTAACTTCGCAAGAATGATAAGACGTAAAACTTTTCTTACTTACATACAAATTATCCATATAATTCTTTTAAAGTGATTTTTATTATTTACTTCTAACTTTTGTTCTTTTTCTAATAAAACTATCTCCTGCCACTACTGCGTGTGTCAAAATACTATTGCATAGACTAATTAAACGACTACCTAATGTTGAATTTTAGAACTTCATTATAGACTTTTAAATTTATAAATTAAAATAAATATGGGGTTTTTGAAAGAAAGGCTTTCTGTCGAAATCTTCTTTATATTTCTTTAATTGTTATTCGAATGGTTTGTCCTATCAAAAGCAAAAAAAAAATGTAAAATTACACTGTTTTCCGATTTGAACAGTTGCTATATTATTGTACATATTCTATTAGAGGAATAAAAGAAATTGATACGAAGCAATTAAAAAAAATAATAAAACCTAAAATTCACCTTTATTTTTGCATCATAAGCTTTTTCTTTTTCATACTAGCCAAAGCGAGATTTTATCTTAAAACAGAACCCGTTAATTCCCGATAAAAAAAATTTTTTCGGTAAAATTGACTTACATAAAAATTTTCTAACAGTTTTTTGTCTTTATATATTACGGGGTTTTAGTTAACTTCTTGGAAGCAGTGTTAATAATAACTTCAATGACAAATAACAAAGTCTTTATCACTGCCTGATTGTTGTTGCATAACATGGACTTTATTACTACGGTTTTGTATTTTAAAATGATGATCAGGACTCTAAAATATTTACATGTTACTAATTATTGCATCTACTTCGTACGGTTTTAAAAAAGGTGAACAGCCTGTGTAGTAAATATACTGTTAAAATTACAGTAGGTACGATTATAACAGCAATGCAACAAAACAAAAAGCAAAACCAAAATTTTCCATTCCATGTTTTTTAAATAAGACCAAGATATGATAAAAACTTACAGATATGACAGTCTACATTTTATAAATAAACTACACATTGAAATATTTTCTTATTTATATTTCTACCGCTAACTTTGCATTGTAAGTAGACAGAAAATTTTTGCACAAAGTTCATTTGAAATTCAATTACAGTTCACCAATATGCGACCCCTTAATTACAAATGTGTAAAAAATACCTTATAATTATTCTCCGTTAATAAAAACCGACCAGTCGAAACAATTGTCAGTCATTAATTGGTAATAAATAAGTAGCTGAAATATACCGAGTACTTTGATTCCTTATATTTTATTAAAAATGTTTCATCAAGATTACACCACTTACGATTAAAGTTTATATTATTAAACAGCTATCTGTTGTTTATGAAGTTTTTAGTGGAAAAAACCAGATATCAATTTTAATTATTAAGTCTTTACAATTAGAGATGGGCCGGGTACTCGGTTTGGATCCCACACTTTATTTTAGGATCTGACCAGTTACGAGATAATGACGCCGAGTACCCCGCAGTGCCGAGTAATTCACATCATCATAAGGTCGTTAGTCCTAAGACTGGTTGGACACGCACCCCCACTCCTTCCTATTTCCTTAAACTTAGAACATCTCACATCCTTAACTATTTTCGAACAGTAATCTAATCTAGGTCTACCTCTACTCCCCTTAACTCCTGTTTCTGCCTCTAATATATCTCTGACTAGACCTTCATAACTGAGAAGGTGTCCTACCAACCTGTCTCGCCAAGTTTTAATTGACATTTATAGAGTCCTCTCTGTTCTCCTGTTCTTTCTAATACCTCTTCATTTCTAACCTTCTCTATCCACGGGATACTTATCATCCGCCAGTAACACCACATTTCGAACGTTTCTAACCTTTTCTTTTCCACCGCGCTCACCGTCCATGTTCCGCATCCGTACAGCGTCGCGCTTAAAATATACACCTTTAGCAAACATTTTCGAATTTCTACATTAATCATTCACCAGCATAGAAGTGACTTCTTTTTATTGAAGGCGACTCGACCCTGCGTTATCCTCTGCTTTATATCCCTACTACTCCTTCCGTCCTGACTTCCTAGATGCCTAAAATTAGCCACTTCTAATTTTTCGTCTCCTATCTTTATATTCGCTCTTTCCCTACTTTTTCTTCCGTTGCATACCAGTATTTTTGTTTTACTTTTATTTATCTTGATACAGTACTGTTTTGTCAATACTGCTTCCATTTTATTTAAAGGTATCTCTAAGTCCTCCTTGCTAGATGCTAATACTGCTATATCATTTGCAAATATTTTTTGTGTTTTAATGAATATAGACAAGAAAAGCATGTTAATTGATTGAAAATCTATTAACCTAATAAAAATATGTAATATTTAGTTCTTAGTTTAGTATAATAGTGATGATTTAATGCATTTTACAAAATATTAAATCTTAGTCAATCTACCCCTGGCCCGGGGTAGGTAGACCATATGCCCGGGGTAAGTTGACTCATGTACCAGTAAGAGTCAAATCATGAGAAGGAGCAAATAATTAAACATTTTTTTAATATAATTGAACCTTTTGTTAAAAAATAAACTGGCTAAAGTTTCCTCTTCTAGATTAGTAAAAATTTGTCAATTTTTTATATATTCCACTGTGTCCAGGGTTAATTCTGCTCTCGTCAATTTCGGATTCTGTTCTAATTTTTCTTTTAATTTGGCCACGTAACGATTTAAAAGTCCAATAAAAAGTTAATTTATGTGTTGTTTTCAACTACATATTTCATTGGGGTTGGTTGAATAATTATTCAACCAGCCCCGAAAAAAATTGGTCTACCAACCCCAGACGCCATTTTTAATTTTGATCGCATGGCTAGCCTAAACACTGCCGTTGACTTGAAAAATAAGATATGAAATATGATAAATGTGCCCTCATTAAATGCTAGGACTAATAGAAAAATGATTTACATAAAACGAGTAGGCATCAGATCAAAAAATACAATATATCAAAATATTACTTATGTGATTGAAATATGAAAAACATGTCAGTGTTCGAAAACAACGCACGACCGCGATGTGACGCTTCAGACAACTGAGCGGGACGCGAAATGTAATGTTTGGTTATGATCAGATGACATAGTTCATACACTGTCGAAGAGTTTTCGGTAGTTAAGTCTACCTACCCCTATAGTCAACTATCCCCGGTCTCCCCTACTACAAAAAAGTATTTATTTGAAAAAAGTATCTTGAAAATACGTATTTAGCATTTACAAAACGAAATCTATTTTGTATTTTAGATTTGAAATACCGAATCATAAAAGTATTTGCATTTTGTATTTAAATACTTTTAAAAAACGATTTTGCACATCTCTACATGCTACACCGTTTCACACAAAACATTTACGTGCGCCTTTTTTTAGAAAAATCAGCATCAAAACGCAAGGGTCTATATGTCTATAAAACTCGAACGAAAATATTTCAGAGAATACTATAAATTGAGAATGTACCTACTGTTAGAAAAACAAACGAAAGCCGGATTCTTGAAATAGATCCAATGCGACCGACCGCTAGAAATAAAGCGGTCACCACAACAGAAATATTAGATAATTTCGAGAACGAAATCGCACAAGTTCCTTGCACCCTGCTCCTTCGAGAACGGCCACCTGGATCACGCACCACGCGTAAAAATATTTACGAAATAGATCACCAGAAACTTTCAAATTAAACAGCACCAACAATAGAATATTACAGACAACTTTGAGAAAACCGGAGTGAAACTTTAAGGTAAGTACAAAAATCACGAGCAATTAACGCAATATGCTACTTCGATTGAATCCAAATAGATACTATAAGTATACGATCATAACAAGCCGTGAAAACGTTTGTTTTTATACATGTACATGTTACGTACCGTGCAAGTGTTGCCCTATGGCGCTTCACCATTGGCCGATGACGTCGTGGGCTCCTTGATCAACTCTTGAAAAACAAGGATAAAAACTGAAATAAAGACAAGAAATAATCAGTCTCGCATTAACACATGTACAGGTAGGTATAAACATTTAAATCAATATCTGTCGGTAGTAGTGTGTATAGTAATATCGCTGTCGATTGATAAGACAATAGAAAAACACTTCATATTACATTTGCGTGGCTATGTTCGACGTTGATAACACGAATAATGACAATACTTCGAACACAAAAAAAAAACTGCAGGTATCGTAATTATTCGTATATTGTAAGTATCTATCTCCGATTTCAGATAATGCCCCTATGACACATAAATTTACGATAGGGAACGATGAACAGTTTTCGATGTGTCGAGCATTAATCTTATCTATCGTACATATTAATCAAATGATCGCATTCCTTCGTGATAGATACAGACAATACAAAAAAGTTAAATATTTTCGTAAAAAATTCGGTCATGGATTTTCTGAGAAAATGTTTCGATAATCAGAGAAATTACAGCGGAATTCGTTTACTATGACTCCGCCTATATTGACCAGCTGCTTAATTGCAGTATTAAGTTTGGTTTTCATATTAAATTCTCTATAGGAAAGTTTGGATATAATGACTTAGTTTAAAATGACATATCGTTTATTATGACTGATTCTCAAGAAATCATATCCGGCTATAGTAACCCAAATGATTAATAATAACATTTTCGCTCATTTTTCTGACCCTTCTTATATATGTTATTGATATTACAATTCATCGATCTTTTTCATTTTTTTTGTTAATAAATATACACAATTTGTAGTTTTTCTCTCTTTTAAACTATATAAATAACTAACCAAAATAGAAAGTTGTTTATTTTCTTAGACTATGCTTTGTATGACGCCCACTTGGTATGACGTGTTTGTCATTTCCCTTCGACATCATTATAAGCGGATTCTTAAAACATAACCTAATAGAGCTGACGGTGATATAGTTGAAACTATTTTTTAGGTGTGTTCGGTGTTACAAAGACATCTTCTAGTTTATGTTTATCTTTAGTATAATTCTTAGATTTTATTGCTTTATTCAAGGGCACAACAACGTTACAATTTGACTGGGTGCTCCAAAATGACTAAAAAAGAAAAGGTCACCAATGCATTGTATTGGGAAAATCGAAAAATTGAGTTCGGCTGAGTTGAGTTCGGTTCATAATACTATAAATTACTAAAAAAATAAAAGGTCATTTCTAAGAGATTGAACCGAATCAACTTAGGTTATTACCTGAATCGACTGGAATTGAGTGGGTGCCCGGGCATCCGGGGACCCCCCCTTGTTGCGCCCCTGGTTTTATTCATCTCCGACAATATGTACCCATTTGTATATTTTGTAAATAGATGTTGTTTCTTAGTCGTAAATGCAAATTCTTGCGACCAGCTAAACTACTTTTATTATCTAGCTTTCTCAAACATCAAATTTCCCGGAGGCTTGGTACCTGAATTGGTAACTTTAGAACCAGATGTACTTTCAGGTATCAATCACTTCTACTTTTTCTATCGTTATTGTGGGGGTTGAAATAAATTATCGGAATAAATTATAAATACCAACCAAAGGCCGTTGTGTTTAGTTAATATATAAACAAAAAAAATCAGCATTGATCTTATTTTTTGAGACTTTAAATGCTCTTTGACTTCTAAAATTCCCAGCCCTTTCATAGTCTCAGTCCACCCCTGGCAGGGTGGTATACACGAGCGCATGGTTTTTTTAAGATTTCAGCTTTTCCAGACCAAGTTCCTTAAAATATCCGATCGTGTGTAAAAGTAAACCAGACGGACCTGTTCTGTTTTCGGTCCGTAGTACCTACAGTAGGAATAAACCGATGTACTCGATCCTATGGACCTGATTCGATGTTTACCGACTACTGGCTGACTTAATCCTTTTCATATTCGTTGAATCATCACACTCGTAAGTTCATCATCATCATAAAGTCGTCAGTCCTAAGACTGGTTAAGAAACGCATCTCCACTCCTTCCTATCCTGACCTAATTTTCGCATTTCCTTAAAACTAGAACATCCCATAGATCTTTTAAACCTATTCAAGGATTACGGATCTAACAATTCAGAAACCATCGTTCAAAACCCGATGGATTTCTATATCACACACTGAGAGATTTGTTCTACGAACGGACCCAGTCCGACAATAATAACAAACTTCTCATATTTTCCTTAGTTGGCATAATAAAGGACTTATGTCCTGCGCGAACAACGAGATCTAATTCATTAGATCAGATGTTCCAAAACTTCCCCTCGTGTATGCCTACCTGAAGTAATTTTCGCTGTCACGACAAGATCAGAGACGAATCGGAAGAAGCATTTCATTTAATAAGACACTGCAAACACGATAAAGATCGGATCGAATTAACGGATGCAAGTACATAACTCTTTCCAAACATGGACTTCTGGAATCTGCTGTCATATAAGTGAGGACGCACCTTTTTCCCTATTACTGTCAATATACAGATGCATCCAAGAGGTTGCATCCGACGCCGACGCTTTCGTCTTCACATTATGAAACTACAGTATTCTCTCTTCACTTGAAGTTGACATTTTTAATAAATGTATTTCATACGGATTGAAGCACTGCATTTGGCTAATCAATCAACTTCGTTTTAATGGACTTATGCGATACGATTCGATTGGGATCAATCAGTTTCAATACACTCCTAATCGCCTGACCACAGTTTGCTCGGTGTCGCGGGCAAGCGGCTAAAAAAGTTTGCAGCTAAAAAACCATCGGCATTATTTTCTTTTTTGTTTTTGCCGATACTCCTACTACTACATAATAATTAATCCCAATACATGAAAACCGGGATGTTTACCTTTCACTAGCCGATATCACACACATGGCTGTTAATTTTGGTTATGAAATCTAACAAAATTTTCACGAAGCGCTATGCAAATAAAGTGTATTCACTGCTGTTATTTTTAAATTTTCATTGACGTCAGTTTTTATTTACTATCCCGTAACTACATTTGCTATTGTCAAGATGTAAGTAAAAGCAATTGTTCAGCAAAAGAAAAAAATTAAATTATATCAAAAAAAAGAACAACGTAGCAGAGCGTGGTTTCGATCCACGGACCTCTGGGTTATGGGCCCAGCACGCTTCCACTGCGCCACTCTGCTCTTGCGTCACACATGTTGAGGACGGAAGAATACAGATTTTTAATAAATGTGTTGATATTAGTCGTCTAATAAGTAAATATCACTATTAGTTACCGATTTAGACATAAGTACACATTCATATGGACACTTATTACTTCCATATCTACCGACTATATACTGCATGTATTTATAAAGGAGAACTGAATTCCTGCATATACCATGTATTGTAGGTATATATGTAACAAATTACCTAATATGCGTAAATATTTTATTAATATATTATTATTTATATGCGACTATTTATCGAAAAGAAGTTTTCCTTTATTGATCGTATATACGAGGCACAAACCAAAAGTTTTATAACATCAATATCGCTTTCAAAGTAGCATGAGGCTAGGCCAAAATATCTAGGGAGCACTGTTCAAAAGGTGTTCAAGCATTTCTATGTGAATGCGCCCAAAACAGCAAAGCGAAAGCTCCGTCGATATGATGTCTATTACAGACGTACAGAATTCCCGGCTTCGATCCGGTACCCGACGAATCCGGCACTTTTCCTAGAATCCAGACGGATACCGGATAATGACCCAGAGTACCCGACAGTGCCGAGTAATTCTACCAGAGAAAAAATAAATGACAAACACCGACAACAAGAATACCAGAAAACCATTAATTTCCTTTCATCAGTTTCAACTCAATCCTTCTGTTTAAAATCCGTCAACTAAGAATTAAAATTGTATTGCTTTAGTGTTTAAACGCCTTTTTGAACAAGACTTAATGTAGTTTGGGACGTTGATGAAGAAAGTACTACTTAATGGACAGCCCACCACAACGAAGACATGAACCATTTACCGTGTGGCTTTGTCAATAAAAATATTTTATACATAAGTGAATGTAGAAAATTAAATAGGTACTATAAAAAAGTGTTTATTTGAAAAAGGTATTTTGAAAATGTGTATTTTGTATTTAGCATTTAAAATACAAAAGGGAAGTCTATTTTGTATTTACTTTTAAAATAACGAATCAAAAAAGTATTTTCATTTTGCATTTAAATACTTTTAAAAACCATTTTGCACATCTTTATGTATAACTGACAACTAGTTGTATTACACTAAATGGAAAAATGCCAAATATAGAGTACAGGAACTGGATGATTTCTGTATCCAAAGTAGTCTCCTTTGATTAAGTCTAAGAACAATACTATATCCATTTCATGAACTACACAAAAAAATTGTTCAGATAGTGAAATAAAATATTTTTACACTATAAGAAAATAAATAAAAGTAAAAATAAAATACTGGTATGCAAGGGAAGAAAAAGTAGGGATAGAGCGAATATAAAGATATGAGACGAAAAATTAGAAGAAGTGGCTGATTTTAGATACCTAGGAAGTCAGATAAGTCAGGATGGAAGGAGTAGTAGGGATATAAAGCAGAGGATAGCGCAGGGTCGTGTCGCCTTTAATAAAAAGAAGTCACTTCTATGCTCGCGAACGGTTAATTTAGAAATTCGAAAAAGGTTGTTAAAGGTGTATGTTTGGAGCACGGCGTTGTACGGGTGCGAAACATGGACAGTGGGAGCGGCGGAAAAGAAAAGGTTAGAAGCGTTCGAAATGTGGTGTTATAGGCGGATGATGAGGATATCGTGGGTAGAAAAGGTTAGAAATGAAGAGGTATTGGAAAGAATAGGAGAACAGAGGACTCTATGGAAGTCAATAAAAAATAGGCGAGATAGGTTGGTAGGACACCTTCTCAGGCATGAAGGTCTAGTCAGAGACATATTAGAGGCAGAAACAGGAGTTAGGAGGGGTAGAGGTAGACCTAGATTAGATTACTGTTCGCAAATAGTTAAGGATGTGAGCTGTTCTAGTTTTAGGGAAATACGAAGATAAGCTCAGGATAGG